TCACTGTCTCCTCCAGGAGAGAGCGGGCCGGACAGAGGGGACGGGGTCGACGTGGCGCTCCCCGTCCTGAGCCTGGCGCGCTGCGACCTGCCACCGGGCCTCGGCCCCGGGCATGGATGGTGAGTGTGGTCCCTCGGCCGGGCCCCCGGGAGAAAACCTCTCAAGTCAGGTCCGTTTCTTAGGTGGTGGGAACGACACCGGCTTATTTTAGTGTTTGTGTAGCTGTCGGTGATGTTAACATTGCGTATTTAAGTCTTAAAGTTGGTCAACTTGGTCAGTCATGTTCAGTGTATTTGATAAGAGAAATGGGGTTATTTTAATTTTCCTCATAAAATCTAGACAGCTCTCGGCCTGTGTGGCGGGTGAAGGGAGCCGCAATCCTAAGTCGTTCTACACGGTGTGCGTGTGTCACGCGTTTAACATGGTCCGCGACGAGCTCACTCACCTGTGTTTGGTAGAAATGCTGCAGGTACTTGGCAGCACAAGAAAGCCGCTGCTTAACTGGGGTTAAAAGGGAGGCGGCGAGTGTGTCCGCCTGCGGCACAGAGCGCGGGAGGTTCCCGACATGACTAAGGACTCCGGCCCCCAGGAGGCAGGGGCGGGGGTGGGGGGCTGCAGCCCTGCCTGTGGCCTGGCTGGGGTGGCCCTGTCTGCCCAGACGCCCCTGCCTGGTGGCACGTGGCTGGAGGCCAAGCGGAGCAGTCGCCTGGCGGGCAGTTGAGCTGACTGTGGGGCCGGAGACTGTGGGCGCCCGTCCCAGGCAGGCAGTCTGGACCGCGTCTCAGGGTCCCGTTTCCCCCCAGGACAACTGGCTTGTTGCTCTGTGGTCTGGTTTTGGAGGTGAGGACGCCAGGAATGAGCCCGGGGAGCTGGGCTGTTGGAGGTGCTTGGTGACCAGGCTGTGCCTGGCTGAGTCCTCAGGTGCCGGAGGGAGACCGTGGGCCTGAAGGCCCTGCGTCCCCGTCTGGCATAGCCAGCAGGGGGCGCCTCCGTCACAGAGGAACTCGCGTCTGGTTTGTGAACTGAACACTAGGGAGAGGAAGCAGCCGAGCTGTGTGCGGCTCGCTGGGAGTTCTGCTGCTCTGGGTGCAGTTTCCTCTGGAGTCTGTTTCTCGCGTGCAAAGCTGCCCGCGGGCCGGAGGGCAGGAGCCTCACGGGGCCGCCTGCGCCGCCTGCGGGGGACGCGCACGAACCTCTCGCGGCCTCGGGACGTCGCAGGTCAGAGCTGAGCTGCTGGTCTCACCGGAGACTGGATTCCAAGGACACCCAGACCCTTGACACCAGCCCAGCCGTGGGAGCCGTAGCTCGTAGCTCAGGCGGCAGGCACGTCCACCTGCTGCGGGCGAGAGGCCCCGTGCGGTCTCCGCGGTCACGCTGTGCTCACGGGAGCGTGGGTGATGCTCGGGGCCGACACCATGGAACTGCAGCTCACAAATGAGACCCGTCCACGTGTCTCTCTTTGAAGCCTTTCCCCGGAGAGGACCGGCTGTGTGTGGGTTGGAAGCTCCGCTGGGCTCTTCATCCTGAACCTGGCGAGCTTGGAGCTGGAGGCTGCCCTGCATTACAAGGGTGAGCGCAAATTCGAACCACCCTCGCTGTACTTCACGTCACGTTAATGTTATCTTTGACTGCTATTGGGGAGTAAGTTTTAGGGCAGAAAGCCCTTAAATGTTGCTTATTTCTCTTTGGGAAAATTCAGATTTTCGGAACCTCAGCATCCAGGTGGCCGGGTCGTGTGCCGTGATGAGCAGCCGTGGCAAGGTCAGTCCTCAGCGTCCCCGACCTTGGCGTCTGGGGGCGTCCATCTGTCCGTCCGTCCACGTGACTCGTGCTCCCTTTCCTCCGCGTGTGACATGCCGGCTTTCCCCTGAGGCCTTTGTGGGGAAGTGGTGAGGAGCCACGGTGCTCTGCGGACTCCCTGCCCGTCAGGCAGCGCGCTGCTGTGAGGGACGCGGGCTCCCTGCGGGGACGGCTGTGTGCACTGCAGTGGGGCCTGCTCGTCCGTGATGGCAGCACAGTCACGTCTCATTCTGTCACCACCCATCACAGGCCTTCTGCTTACTCGCTTCCATGTTTGGGAATGAGGTCGCCGGCTTAGAGCTCGACCCAGCCGCTCTGGTGAGGTCCCAGCAGCACCCCCACCTGGGAACGCAGCTCTCAGTGCTGCCCAGGTAGGTCTGCCAGGTGGGTCTGCTCAGGTAGGTCTGCCAGGTGGGTCTGCCCAGGTGGGTCTGGCAGGTGGGTCTGGCAGGTGGGTCTTCTCAGGTGGGTCTGGCAGTTGGGTCTTCTCAGGTGGGTCTGGCAGGTGACTCTGCTCAGGTGGGTCTGGCAGGTGGGTCTGGCAGGTAGGGGCTATACGTGTCTGTGTATCAGTTGGCAGAATTCAGAGCAAAGTTCAGTAAACTCCCACCTATACTACCCTTAAGTTTGTTTTAGTGTGAAACACCGTTGTATTTCAGGATAGAATGCAGATTATAAAACAGTGTTTTTGTTAAAATACAAATTTACTTCTCAGGAAGATAAGAGTGAGCTTGAGGGCTGGTTGCTCCTCTCAGCTGCAGGCCACACCTGCAGGGACTGGTCTGTGCCCGCTCTCAGGTCCCTGTTGTGTGGGAACAGCTCCCACGGTGCAGTTCTGTTTTCAGCTCCGGTGTCTCGCCGACCTCCCCTCTGTATTTCGGAGTCGCTGAGGCGACGCGTATCAAGCCGGCCGGACACCAGCAAGCCGGTCAGTGTGACATGAAACATGAACATGAAAACGCAGACGTTATCGTTGTGTCGTGCTGCCTGGGGGTGGGTCTCTCCGGGCGCCTTTGTTCCTGCCCCTCTCGTGTTTCTCTGCAGGGAATGTGCTAGGTTTCTTCTCCTGAGCTGTGTACAGCTCACAGGAGCTCAGGAATTGCTGCTTCTCCGGGTCCAGCAGTGCGGGCTGTGGGCGCTGGGATATGATGGATCATGAGATGTTTTTTCTCGTTTCTCTAACTGCCTTGCCAGGTACTCAGAGCTCCCTGCGGGACCAGCCCCTGGTCTTCCACAGCCGCGTCCGGTCCTCCGGGTACACGGCTGCACCCCAGTGAGTAGATGGCTCATAGCCACTCCCACGGGAGCAGGGCAGTGACGGTAGCTGCGGCCTAGTGTGTCCTGAGGGCCACCCGCAGGGCGGGAGATGGGAGACAGGAGGCGGGAGACGGAAGACTGGAGATGGCGGGCGTCGCAGTTAGAATGGAGTCGGCCCCTCACAGATGTGCAGCAGCTGCAGGGCCAGCCTGCTGAGTGCTCACTGTGCACCGGCCCCTTGGCCCCTGGGTCCTTGCCTGGCTGCAGTGGTTGTGACTGACCACCTGTGGGGAGGGACATGGCCTGGGGCCTGACTGCACTGTGCCCCCCCAGACCACAGCTTCGCTCTGACCACGGTGTTAAAGTCGCTGCACCCAGAGCTGGGGCGCAGCAGGGCTGTCAGGGCCGAGTGGGAGCGGTGGGTGGGACTGGGCTCACGAGGATTTTCAGGTACAGCAGCCACGGGCCCTGGTGTTTCAGGGCCTGCGTGTCTCAGAAGCAGGCACTGCCCCTCAAATCTTGACCCATTGTCTGTCTGAACCCCGTCACAAAACAGCCTGTGAGCGGGAAGCCTGGGGGCCTTGGTTGACTCGTCCCCGCTGACTCCCCTCTGCCATGCTCCCCTGATGCCCCCTGCAGCCACCCTCTGGGCTCCCCACCATCCTCCTGGGCCAGAGGCACCGCCCAGAGGCCCACCTGGTGGTGCTTGCAGTGGTAAGGCCGCTGCTCCCCTCTGTGCGATGTTCCACCTCCGGCCCCCACCCAGCCCTCTGGCTCCTCCGCTGTGGCCTGCCCACGACGGCATGACCAGCGCCGTCCGTGGAAGTA